GTATATAGATTATTGATATTTTGAAATAAGTTCTTAGTTATTTTTCCTAAAACATAGAACAGTAAATAAAGAAGTAAAGCAAACAATTATCTCTTCTAATTGCGACCTTTGTACTCAGTTGCTGCTTGACGTAGGTTGCCAAGCCTTTAAAAATTTTGCATGTGGAGGACATGAAAAAAAATATTTTTTTATGTTTTATATATACTTTAGAATAACTAGAAAATCATAAATTACTACATCAATACCATGGAATTCTACTATAATTTATCAAACTTAGTAACTAAGCTGTATTTGGGTTTAAAAATATATGAACTTTTGAGCAGATTAAAGACACAACCTACCTCAATGAAATCTTGGTTCAAAAGAAAGATATGGCATTAGGTATGTTAGAAAGGTTGAGAAAACCACTAAGGGGACATTCTTAGCTTCTGATTTGTTATTTGTGTCGTATATAGAAGTAAGTGTATATAAGGTAAGAGCATTTCCAAAAATGGAAAGAGGTAAACGGGGTCCCACTGTGTTTGATTTATTACATGAGGAATATCCTAGCAAATAGGAAAGATAAGACCTTATTTTATATCCTAGCTTGTCAATATCTGTAATTTGAGTTTCTAATTCATGTGCAACTATAGATGTAGTATTTTGACTTCACAAACATCTAATTTGAACCAATGCTGCTTTCAACATACCACATTATACACAAAAATCAATGTTTATCTGTGTTTTTTTAATATTTGCTTTTAAATTAACAAATTGAGTAATGTTTAGTTCTAAGATTTAAATTATAATCTACAGTTTGATACCAAACTTATTGCCATAAATTCATGAAATAGTAGTTCAATAAAATTTTGAATGCAAATCAACAAGATGACATAGTCTTTCACCTGTGACCCGTCTCGAAAGGGTTAATGGGTGAAATGCCAATTTAAGAGACTGTTTTGTTGGAGCTGAAAGCTTTGTAACCTGAGGTGTTTGTCTTTCATGTAATGCCAACTTCTCTGAAATACAGCACATGGAGATAGAAAGTAGTTAACTCCTATTGTTGGCTCAGCTGATCATTGAAGATGGACAAGATACATAGACTTAGTTGGGGTTTTGAAGCATTTTTCTCTTTATTTGGTGGTTGCTATATCCTTAGTCAATTTATCAACATATTTTTTTTTTTTTTACTCAGAAGTAAATTTGGAATAAATGAAGCCCTTATAAATCGAGAACAGGCACTTTGGGTAGTCAGTTTGTTACCCATGCCAAACAGTAACAAGCTAACGCAGTGAGCACAAGTTCTGGTCACTGGTTTCTTTTCAAAAGATATTACAAGCATTATTAAAACTCTTGAAAAAAATTTGGTTAATAAATTATCAAAAAGTTCAGATATTTGTTTGACTAAAGATCATAATACACCAAAAACTTTGCAAGCTAACATGGACTGTCAGAAGAGTGATGAGTCTTCTCTACTTTTTAATTATTTGTTAAAATATGTTTTGTTATGTTTGAGATTAAATATTTGTGTATGTTACATTCTAAAATAAAGCTGTAGTTGAAAAAAATTTGTGTGTTTTAGATTCCTGACACGGTGTCAGAAGAGATGAAAAAATCTGCTGAATATTCACATCAAGGTGAATTTTTTAAGTTTCATTATATTTTTTAGGTAAAACTTAAACAAATTTTTTTAAAAAGGTGTCAGAAATATTTTACATAATTTCCATGTTTAAACATACTAGCTAGAAGATATGTAACAAAACCTAATAGGTTTTTACCTAAAAAATATTAAAGTTAATTCTTAAGATTTAAATGTTGGGGTAGTTTAAACTTATGTAAGTTCTTCTACTTTGCAACTATTTATATAATCATCAATCATTTATTAGAGAAGGATGTATTCCACTTGAAACAAAGAACCTTTATTTAGAGGAAAAGATAAAATTAGCATAGCTAACACAATATGTTAGTTGATAAATTTTGTTGTTGTTAATTTTTCATTAGAATTAAATCTACAAATGTTGTGAGATTTGTATGATTTTTAAAACAATGTGTTTACTAATTGACTGAAAGAGACTATTGAATATATGCTCACAATATTTGTAACAACTTATGACATAGAGGTGTGATACAATAAAAGCTGTTATATATGTTCTAAAGAGATATTTAAGAGAATCGTGTAGATACATGAGAAAATAAATTAAAGAAGATACCCACTAAAGAAATCTATCACAATAGATTATCAGTTTGTATGTGTGCAGTTTGAAGAAATAATGACCACTGTTAATTTTTCCCAACTTGTAACATTAAGCTTCTAATTTGTGTACTATCATTTGTTTTTTATTGTTTTTGTCTTGATTAAATGATTTTAAAAAATTATTATGGATTCTGTTAACTAATTTGCTGATAATAGTTTAAAATTTGGGCCAAAGTAAGTTCATAAAACTATTCTGTTTTCCATTCAGATAGATTTCATTCATACTTCAAATTTTCTTTTTGTTATTAGGATATTTTTTTTGTCTTAAAACGGTCAGTAATTATGGCTTATAAAATATAACTAAAGACATGGTACAATAGTACTAGAAATTTCAAATAAGAGCTTGTTTATTGTTTTATGCAGAAAGTGCTCTAAACTAAATAAATGTTTAAGAAAACTAAACTGGTATGCACAAGGTAGGAATTCTGTAGCTCAGCAGCAGGACTTACTAAAATATAATATTCTTGTGTGTGCCAAAATATATTTGTAATTATTAAATATATATATATTTATAAAATGTGTTGTTGTTTTTACTCTTGATTGATTCATCTATGTTAGTTCTTAATTAATAATACTCAATGTTGAACAGCTAAGTGAAAATACACTGGGCTTCCATGGTGTTTGAAAACCTACTTATAAGTAATAGTTGGTAAGAGAGCCTCTTAGGATAGGTAGGATATGACTTTTTGGCTCATTTGGTTAAGACATTTACTTATTCAGTAGAGATGGTATTTGATTACTGTTTTGGATGAACCCCTCTCAGTAGTTATTTTACTATGTTACAGAACCTACCTTTTCATCACAAATTGAATTTTATAGTTTGTCAGAACACCTACAGAGATATAAGTTACTGACTTGTTAGCAAGGACAGGGTTTCTTAGGTCATTTGTTTAGACTTTGTTTGCTGGAGCATTATCTTATGGGCTATGCCAAGGATTAACCTTTGTTGGTTAGAATATTATCTAGTGGCATAGAGCATGGATTGACTACTTTCTTGATGAGAGTATCTTATCTAGTGACATAGAGCATGGATTGACTGCTTTATTGATGAGAGTATCTAATCTACTGACATAGAGCATGGATTGACTGCTTTCCTGATGAGAGTATCTTATCTAGTGACATAGAGCATGGATTGACTGCTTTCTTGGTGAGAGTAACTAATCTACTGACACAGAGCATGGATTGACTGCTTTA